ATCAGCATCATCATCATCAGCATCATCATCATCAGCATCATCATCGTCATCATCATCAGCATCATCGTCATCATCATCATCATCATCATCATCATCATCATCATCATCATCGTCATCATCATCATCGTCATCATCAACAGCAGCATCATCATCCTCGTCCTTCTCCTCCTCCTCCTTCCCCTGTCCCTCCTCCTCCTCCTTTTCCTCCTCCTCCTCCTCCTCCTCCTCCTCCTGCTCCTCCACCTCCTCCTCCTCCTCCTCCTCTTCCTCCTCCTCCTCCGCCTCCTCCTCCTCCTCCTGCTCACCCTCCTTCCCCTCCTCCTTCTCCTCCTCCTCCCCCTCCTCTGCCTCCTCCTCCTCCTACTCCTCTCCTTCTCCTCTTCCTTCCTCCTCCTCCTCCCTTCCTCCTCCTCCTGCTCCTCCTCCTCCTTCCCGTCCTCGTCCTCCTCCTCGTCCTCCTCCTCCTCCTCCTGGTCCCCTGCTCCTCCCTCCTCCTCCTCCCCCTCCTCTCCTCCTCCTCGTCCTGATCCTCCTGCTTCTCCTCCTCCTCCTCCCCCTCATCCCCCTCCTCCTGCTCCTCCTCAGGGACCGAGAAGTGCACTTCTGAAGGCGCTTTGTGTTTTTGTCAAGGGGGGGGTTCAAGCGAATCCAAAAACCTTTGAGCCCCCGGAGCCTCCGAATTCCGCCGTGGGCCGCAGGGGCCTCCAGACCCAGGGGGGGCCCAGGCTCACGCAGTTGTGCTGAGAGGACCCTGAGGCAAATGGTCCTGGGGCTTGATAACGGACACCGCGCCTCGCATACCGAAGGAGAGGTTCGCTGAGTGATGCGAGGCGGAGTTGACAACGAGCACGCACTAGCATATCGCATCGTTCTCCCATCCCTCTCCTCCTCCGCCTCAGCGTCGTCGCCGTCGCCGTCGCCGTCGTCGTCGTCGTCGCCGCCCCTCATCCTTCTTTTCATCATTGGGAATCCACCGACCCCAGAGGCGGGTGAGGCTGTGGCGTGTGCCACGCCCCCACCCCTCTCGAATCCTGTTCTTGGGATCCCCCACGCGACAATTCCTAGCCCAAAACCCAAAACTCTGACCGTCCTCCTGGCCACGGCAACCCACTCCCTCTGGAAACCTGTTCTTGAGATCCCCCACGCGACGGTTCCTACCGCGGAACCCACCTCCCTGGCCACCGCAAACCCCTCCCTCTGGAATCCTGTTCGTAGGATCCCCCGCCCGACAAGTCCTAGTCCGAGGGTCCCCAAGAGGCTCCCAGGAACCCAACAAGATGCAAGACGTCAAACCTGAGAACGCTGCCTCAGGGACTCCGGTCGGCGGGGTTCATGAAGAAGGAAGACGACAAGGGAGAAGAGGAGCAGGGAACGAAGGGCCCGGACGAGACAGATGAAGAGGAAAAGGAGGAGTAGGAGGAGGAAGAGGAGGAGATCCTGATCTGGGATCAGGATGTCCTGAGGCACCTGCCGATGAAGCTGTAGAGAACACGGAGGAGGAGGAGGAGAAATAAGAGACCCGAACTCCCAAACCGCTAGCGTCAGCGCCAGGAGGAGGAGGAGCCACCCACCCCACCCACACAACCCCCCAGAGCAGCATTTGCGCGGCAGAAAGAAGAAGCATTGCACGGCCATGGCCGCGCCGTGCCTAGATAACTCGTGCCGTACACGAGGTCTCTCCGTGAGCCCCGATCCACCCCGCGACCCACCCCGCGACCCAGCCGGCGACCCACCCGCGACCCAACCCGCGACCCACCCGCGACCCCACCCGCGACCCACCCGCGACCCACCCCGCGACCCACCCCGCGACCCAACCCGCGACCCACCCGCGACCCACCCGCGACCCACCCGCGACCCACCCGCGACCCACCCGCGACCCACCCCGCGACCCACCCGCGACCCACCCGCGACCCACGCGCGACCCACCCGCGGCCCACCCCGCGACCCACCCGCGACCGACCCCGCGACCCATCAACGACCCACCCGCGAGCGGCAGCGCAAGCCGGCGCCCGGGGCGCGCGGGCGCGACGGATCCCCCGAGGCAGAGCCAGACTCTTCAGGTGCTGGCCCAACACGCCCTTCTGGGTGGGCGACGGCGAGCACGCGGGCGCTGGCACCAGAGGAACGTGAGAGCAACTGGGGGGGGGTCTCGAAGTAGACACCGAGTCGTCTGGTCGGCCAGGGAGCTCCATGAGTAAACCCCCCAGCTTCCAAGCTTGTAGGATGCTGGGGCGACGATGCACAAAACTCCCTCACTGAATTCGTTGGCTGACGTGGTGTGTACAACGACCTCCTTCGAACCACCGCTGCATCGGTGAGCAGAGTCGCTGCGCTGCGGCACGCGCGATGGCGTTTGCCGAGGCCTCGTAGTGATAGTTCACCTCCCGATACCCGAAGAAGCTGTAGAAGTGGTACATGTTGCTGTAGACTGCGCGCACTTCCAGGGCTGTTCCAGCCTGGTCCGGCAAGGGAAGTGTCTTCAAGACGCGCACGAGTTGCGACACCCGCATGCGCCTCCTTGGCAATCGTCCTCCATGGCCAGCCATTGTATGCCTTGCTATGTGCACGATTACTCCTCCTCCTCCTCTTCCTCCTCCTCCTCCTCCTCCTCTTCCTCCTCCTCCGCCTCCCCCTTGTCCTCGCTCCCCCTCCTCATCCTCCTCCTCCTCCCCCTCCTCCTCCTCCTCCTCCTCCTGCTCCTGCTCCTCCTCCTCCTCCTCCTCCTCCTCCTCCTCCTCCTCCTCCTCCTCCTCCTCCTCCTCCTGCTCCTCCTCCTCCTCTTCCGCATGTTACGTTCCCTGCTTCCTCGCTGCTGGACTCTGCTGGGAAGGGCCTGTTCACAAAAGCCTCCGTGAAACTGCTGACGTGTGGAAGAGAAAAACGGGCGACGGGGCAGCGGGGCGGATGAGAATTGAAAGGAGGAAGCGTAGAAAAAAACCATGAGAAAGAGAAAGAGAGAACATTGCTGGGTGTTGCTCGAGTGCCCATGGCCCAAGGTGCCCCCAGCATTTCCAAGGAGGCCCCCGCGGCCTCCAGAGCACCCCCCACGAGGCCCAGAGGGCCCCAGGGACTCCAAAATTGAGCAAAACGCTGGAGGCACCTCGGGCCAGGGGCACCTCTAGCAACCCCCGACACTGGGCGACTAGAAACTCGACTGGCAAGCTCGCACCACAGACGCATGCAGCTCACGTGAAAGCACAAGGCCTGGCGGAGGCTGAGCCCGTCGAATGTGTGGTCCAAATCCTGAGTCGGCGCGTTGGCGCAAACGAATTCACACACACACACACACATGCACGGACACATGCCGTATGGATTGGACGGAGGGGTGATTGTCGCATGGATGACCGGCAGACTCCACTGCTTGCCCAGGGCCCCGACCCACCGAGGTTGCACAACATATATGAACCACCACCACATGAGCTGTTGAAGAGCACGGTGACGCCAGTTCGCTGGTGGAACCGACTCCACCCCCAATCCCCACACCACCCCGACCCCTGCCACAGACAGCATGACGCAGGAATGCTGCGCGGCACTCACAAGCCCTCGCGCGGGCCGCGAGAGAGGAGGGGACAGGCAGGCAGAAGAGCGGACGACGAGCACACATGCGGCACGGCAAGAACCAGTGTCGTGCCCAGGCCAAGCGCCTTCAACCCAGCGTGTCGACACGACCCACTTGGCAACGGCAACAGTCTGAAAACGATGGCTGTCTACGGTGAGGGTGCGAAATATCCCGAACAACCCTACTCTATAACCCGCGCACATGCGCGGCACACTTCCGCGCATATTTAAAAAGAGGATCGGGATGCCAGCGTACATGATGAAGGCAGGGGGGGAGGTTCCACCCGACGCTGTCCACGGGCACACACCCGCCCACCTGACAAGAGCTGGAGGCAACTGGCTGGCTGGCCCTTCGCGCGATGACAATCCACCGCCCCCGCGAGGGCTTGTGAGTAACTTCGGGCTGGGGCGCCGCCCTGCTGCGAGGATGGGTGCGCCAACAATCTGCCTGAACCCTTTCTTCCGCGCACACCGGCGCCCGATCCCCGGAGAACCAAAGCATCGCAGGACCCCAAACGCCAGGGAGCGGGGGGGAGGCAGGACCAGGGACGCCAGCTCGGCAGGAAACGCCACGCGCACCCAACAAGGTTGTGATACAGCGCGCTTGGGGCGAGTCGCTGGCCTAGGCACGCGCGGAACAGACTTCCCGACCCCAGGAGGAAAAAAACCTCGCGGAAATATGAGGACCACACCAAAATCGGCAGAGGCCTGCTGGGGGCGCCCCCCAGGGAGGCCCTCCATGTACGAGTTCTGCCAAGCAGACTCCGAGGAGGGGGGGTTCTGGCCCTCTGCAGGGGCGAGGGGGGGGGGGGGGCCGAGCAGTGGGGGAACTGCGACGACACCGCCGCGACGCTCGCCCGACGAGGGGAAGGCGGAAGGCGGCTGCCGACGGGGGGGGGCGCCCTCGAAGCTAAGGAACGGGCGCGGGTGCGCGCGCGGGGAGGGGCGAGCCCTCCGCCTCCCCTTGCGTCTCCGTCGCGGCCAGACGCCGCCCCTGCGATCCCAAGCAGTTTTGAAGGGGGAGAGCAGGGGGGGGCCACGAGCGAGAAAGGCGCTATCCACGCCGCAGCAACAACAACGACGCACGAACGAGCACGACGGAGACGGGAAGGCGACCAAAGAGGAAGAGGCCTCGGGTCCGCACGGGAGCGAGCGCCGCACCCTCTACAGGGCCAGCGCCCTTCTCAGCCAGGGCCCCATAAGCGCGGCTGGATTAGGGAACTCGGCGTGGCTCTGACTGGCCGCAGGCGCGCACTCGGCGCGGCGCGGGCGAGCGCAGGGACCGCCGCGCCAGGCATCGCATCCGCGCGCTGTCCGCCGGCAAGCTGGGGGGCGCCGCCGTGGGCGCCGCTGCAGGAACCAGGCGACGATGACTGAGGCCCACCAACGCTCGGCGCCTTGGCGCCCGCGTGAGGGGCGCCCTGGGCGGGCGGCGCGGCGCATTCGCCAGCCCCGAGCACCTGGGCATGGAGCTCCGCAAGCTGCGCGCGGACTGCATCAAGCCGGTCGCGCAAACCCTGCACCTCCGCCGCCCCAGCTGGATGATTCCACTGGGTGTTGCCCGTCCGCCTGTTGAGGAAGTTGATCTGGCTGGAGATGCCCCGCCGTGGCCCCCAGCCTGGTGGAAGGGCTGGCGGGCTGCGCTCTGGCGGGCCCGGCGAAGGCGAGCTCGGTTCCCCGTGGCGGCTGGGCGGCGGTGACGGTGCCACTTCGTTTCGTTCCGTTTTGCGCGTATACGGCACACACCACGTCCCGCGCTGGGCGCCCGCCGGGCCCCCGTCGCCTGGCCCCGGGCCCGCCGCCCCTCGCAGCTGCCGGAACCAGCCGCTCCGAGGGAAGATATGGACGCCGCCAGGCGGTGATCTCTCACACCCCATCGCGCCCCCACGTCTGCAGCCCCTCCACGCTGCCCTCCCCGCCCGACAACGCAGGGCCTCACTGGGGCGGGGGGGGCGAGTAAGGGGAGGCAGCGCCGCCCTCCCCACAGACTCACAGCGGGCAGCGCAGATGCGCGGCAAGGTTAGACGGCCCATGGTGCAGGAGCGCTCACCACCCGCCCTCGCTCCCCCCCAGGCCCCGCCGACAACGAAGCGGACGGACAGCCAGGCGGGCCCGGCGCATGCAGCTGCTGCGCACTCGGGGCCTTCCGCGGAACGCGCCTCCACGGAGCGGGGAAGGCAAGCCTCTCGGGCGGCAATACGTCGCCAGCCTCCTCAAAAACAGAAGGGGGCGCGCGGGGAGGGGGCGGCGGGGGGGGCGGGGGCGGGGCCGGCCAAGCAGCCTGCATTACCACAGATCCTACGTAACTGACGTGCGCCGCACGGGCACGCCCCCGGAGGCCCTCACAGAAAAGGACCTGCAGGGCAAATTCTGGGGCGACGCCCTGGATGGACAGGCCGTCGTGTGCAAGCAGGACCTGGTGCGCTGCCGTGGCCTGACACGCCCCCAGGGGATGGTCGACGCCAACGTCTAGAGCTCCACGCGCGCCGCACCGGGGAAGCGCGGCCGGCAACCCCCCTTGGCCAAGCATGGAGAGGGGCCAGCAGCCCGTCACGCGCGTGACTGTCCACACACGGTAATGCTTCCAAAAACTGAGAGTCGACTCCCATCCAAGTAGGTGCCAGTCCGGGAGAGACGGGCCTGGGCAGAGCTCAGCGAAAGAGCGGCGCAGCGCGGGGAAAAACTCCGACGGCGCCTTCCTGAACGCTTGTTGGTCGTACTCCAGCAGCGCCGGACGTATGACCTGCCAGCGGTACCACCCCAAGAGGGCTCTCCGCCTCTCAGGATCAAGTCTTGCAGCCTCCAGCTGCCCCCCGACACAAGCTGGGTGCCGGTCCAGCGGCACCGGTGGCTTCGGGAGACGACCTGCAATAACGGCCACAGCGGTGTCCCAGGAGGGGGCGCGCAGGCTCCGGGAGGCCTGCCAGGCCCGGGGCGCAGGGTGGTCCTCCGGAAGGACGGCGAGCCTGGCTTGCGCCATCAAGGCGCGCGCCAAAAACTTAGTGCCCAGTCTCAGTGGCCATCCAGCCGCACTGGGCCACGACGACACAGTGACGCACAGGCGGACCCATGTGGCAGCCGAGGAGTTTGCGGCCCCACTCAACCTGGAAGCGATTTAACGCTGCTTCCGCCCCCTCGGCAAGGACCAGCAGTGGGGAGGCGCAAAGGATGATCGACTCCACGCGCGGGGGGACTTGCGCCGCTGTGACCGGGACGGAGAAGCCGCCGCACTCCGCCGCCTGCAAGACGTCTTCCAAGAGAGCCTTGCCCCTCGCAAGTGTCTCCCGCAAGAGAGGTTGGTAGGTCAGGCCTGCGCCCACTAGGACGCCGAGGAGGCGCTTTGAGAGCACAACTGGGGCCCCTGCCGAAAGTGGCGCGGGGGCACCAAGGAGGGGCAGGACAGCCGTCTCACCCTTATCGAAATTAAAACGAGCCTTCGCGCGCCGAACGTAGCGGCTACACGCAGACCGCTCTTAAGACAGCACTGCCCTGACAGCCCCCTCCGACGGGCAAGGCGTTGCGATGTCATCCACAAACTGGGATGAGGCCACGTGGAAAGCCCCCAGACGCTCGACTACGGCAACGCGGTCGGCCTGCGATGGCAGCTCACACAGGGCCCCGCCCAGGAAATGCCTGGCCTGCGGCCGCGGCGAAAGTTCGGCAGCCGCCAGACGCGCCGCCTCACACACGACCACATCGAGCTGCACCCCCCCCCGTGGCGGCGCAGCGCAGTGCACGGGCGGCGCGTCGTCTTCATCCGCATCGAGCAGCGCTGCCCGAGCGAACGGCGGCACGGTCGCGCTACAACCCAGCGGCGTCGGGGTGGCAGGGGCTGGGCGTGCGAAAGCGCCGCCAGATGAGGCCGCGGGCGGCGGCTTAGCCTTGGCGACAGGATTCGCCAGGGGCGGCAGGGACCACGGGCTCGACGGGCCAACCAGCAGCGAGTGGCGCTGCGAACGGGGCAGGGCAAAGTTGGGCAGCAAGGGGCCTCCGCCCTGGGGCTGGGCCAGGCTGGGCCGAGAGCGGCACGGCCATCCATGCCTCCGGGGCCGCCGCTGGGCTGACGCCGAGGCCGCGGGCAGCCGGGGCGGGGGCGGTGGCTGCGCAGCCGCCCTGAAGTGGCAAACCGCGTACTCTGGGACCGTCCTGGGGGCGGAGCTTTTATGCTGAGCCCACTCGCCTGGCGGGGGATCTTCCGGGCTGGGCGCCACTGGCGTCGGCGGCACAGACTCCGACCAGGCGAATGGCTCCCTCCAGCGGCTACGCTCGGTCCGCGGCCCCTGGCGGCACTCGCGCGAGCGCTCGCGGCGCGACCTCCGCGACTGGCCGCGGCGCGACGATTCGGAGCGACGCCGCCAGGCGTGGCGGGGCGAGGGGCTTGGCGACCGCGATGATGTCGGTGGGCGGCGGCGCTTGCGGGAACACGCCACGCCGGCGAGGGCGCGCGCCGCGCGTGCTTGCGGGTGCCACAGGCCGGGGGCTCGCCGTTTGCAAGCTGAGCGGCGCTAGACACGGCCGCGGCCGAGGAGGGAGGGGGGCGAACGGGGAGAAGCGGTCCCCAGCAGGCGCGCCGACGACGCGCCGCTGGACAACGGTCCACTGGGTCGAGGTGGGGAGACAGCAAGCGGCAGAGAACAAGCATAGGCAGCAGGATGGAGAGGCAAAGGCACGAAGGCCATGGCGAA